CATTATTAGTAATTATAGTTATAATAATTGCGTTGTCCAAATTTCCTTCAAGTATAGAGAAGAATCGGATATAGAGAAGCTATTGAATTTCGGTTACATCATTTACCAGTTATTCGTTATATATTGATATTATTATTGTTTTATTATTATTATTATTATTATTATTACAATCCAGACCACATTAATATTCATGAGATAAAGTCGGCCGGCCAGTCGAGTGAGTACCTGGTCTTCGTTTCATTGGCCGCTATTTATAGAGACAACAAAGCCATCGTAAGTGGGGATGAATTTTATGATTTTTTGATATTTATTATTATTATTATCGTCATTATTTTATTATTATCATTATTATTATTATTAATATTATTATTATTGTTATTATCATTATTAATATTATTATTATCATTGTTATTATTATTATTTTTGTAAATGACGTCATTATAACTCGTCAGCCAATAGGAAGGGTTCACGTTGGTGGTAAGACATCGTGGGCGGCGCTTGATAGGAGCATTAAAACCTTATTGGACGTTAGTTATAAGCATAATAATAATAATAATAATAATAACAATGCTTATTATTATTATCGTTATTATTATTATTATTATTATTATTATTATTGTTATTATTATTATTATGATACAATAGGATCATATCAATGAGATGGGACTTGGTGAAGATATCTCTGGAAAGTGTATCGGCGTGTATCAAGTCGGGGAGATTGAGAGGAAGATAGGTTGGAGGAATGAATGAATGAATGAGTGAGTGAGTGAGTGAGTGAGTGAGTGAGTGAGTGAATGAGTGAGTGAGTGAATGAGTGAGTGAATGAATGAATGAATGAATGAACGAACGAACGAACGAATGAAAGAACGAACGAACGAACGAATGAATGAATGAATGAATGAATAATTATTATTCTTTATTATAATTATTAATATTATCATTTTATTATTAATAGGTTTTGACCAGCCGGAGTTATTACCCTGTGGTTATTTGATCGGCGATAATACAACTATTAACATTACGCTCTGTTAGTTGCGCTTTTTGTTGTTGTTGTTGTTGATGTTGTTGTTGTTGTTGTTGTTGATGTTGATGCTGTTGATGTTGTTTTTGTTGATGTAGTTGTTGTTGATGTTGTTGATTTTGTTGTTGATGTTGTTGTTGTTGATGTTGTTGTTGTTGCTGTTGTTGTTGCTGCTGCAAACATTAGTTAAAAGTTAGGGCAATCATCAATAATTTCATCGTCACAAACATCATCATCATCGTCATCATTATCTTCACCATCATCATCACCATCACAATCATCACCATCACCACCAGCCCCATCCGACAGATACGGAGTGTTTAACGAACTGGCATACTCAACATTATTGCCCTCTTTCAAATTAGTTCAATGCTTAGACTACCTTCATTCGCACGGACACGTTATCATAAGAGGGTACCGAAATTCCGGGAAAAAGTTCCTCGCTGAGAAATTAGCTAGATGTTTACTGAGGTTAGTTTAGTTTGATATTAGCAGTAGCAGAAAGGTAATAAAGTAGTAGTAATAGTTTGTAGTAGTAGCAGCAGTAGCTGCAACAGCAGCAGAAAAGTTACTGGCAGTAGTAGTAGTAGTAGTAGTGTAGTAGTAGGAGAAGTAGTAGTAGTAGTAGTAGTAGTAGTAGGAGAAGTAGTAGTATTAGTAGTGGTAGTAACAGTAGTGGTAGTAGTAGTGGTAGTAGTAGTATTAGTAGTGGTAGTAACAGTAGTGGTAGTAGTAGTGGTAGTAGTAGTGGTAGTAGTAGTAGTAGTAGTATTAGTAGTGGTAGTAACAGTAGTGGTAGTAGTAGTGGTAGTAGTAGTAGTAGTAGTAACAGTAGTGGTAGTAGTAGTGGTAGTAGTAGTGGTAGTAGTAGTAGTAGTAGTATTAGTAGTAGTATTAGTAGTGGTAGTAACAGTAGTGGTAGTAGTAGTGGTAGTAGTAGTAG